GGCTGGAGAAGGGCGACTGCAGCAGGACGAGGGTCCCCTCCCTCCGTCTTGTGTGCAAGCACACACCTCGACCATGAATAACACAAACAGCAATGACAACAAAGGGCAGGCTGACTGCATCCTATTAAAGGATTTCGGGACAGCAATGGGCTGCGTTTGAAAGACACGGGCACAGGACACATATCCTGCCTACTTCCCGGGGAGAGGGAGGATGTGACAATCTAAGAGGCAGAGTCCCTTCTAAAGTCTGTGACCTCAGAGCATAAGTCGTGCTGTTTGTTTTACAAAAGTGTATGAAGAAAAATAGTCACCCATCTAGAAATTAAGTTGCTGTCACCAGTGCAACTATGTCACCTGGACCAACATCATAGCAATACTTTGTCCATAACAATGACAAAGAAAACAGCACTCAGGCATCCCCTTCCCTGCCGCGCTGCGGCCAGGCCTGAGCCCAGGGGGCTGGTGGCTCTGGATCCTGCCTGCACATTGGAATCAACTTGCTTTACAAAACACTGTTGCGGCAATTCTTATTCAGCGGGTCCGTATAGGTGTGGCCTGGGTGTTGGGAAGTGAAACACCTGTACCTGGAGCTTCCAGGTGCCCTCTGAGGATCTAGCCAAAGGGCTCAGATGGGGCTGGGGACGTGCCACCACCTAAGCTGGGGAATGAGGTCAGCTGACAGGCTGGAGACCCAGCTCATCCTCAACAGTCAGCAACCCCCGCCTTCTCAGCATCGGGCTAGCACGCTGCTGCTCTGCTGCTCAGTGCTTAATCCTCAGCACGACTCCATAGCTGGTGTTACTGTCCCTCTTACACAGAAGAGGAAAACTGAGGCTCAGAGACTCTGGGGAGGACAGGGGTGCCCAGCCGTGGTGTCCCTACTGCAGACCAGGCGTGCACCTGGCTGAAACAGCCCACCAGCTTCTATAGCTCAGTTGTTTTCCTCTCAAAAACCAGGAGAGCTGGCTGATTAGAGGCTCTATAAACCATCCCGTTAAAACATTTTTTACAAAACACAAGGAACCCTGTAAGGGTGAATCGTTAAAAGAATGGTGTGCTTTGAACCAGTAAGAGGCTTGTTTGCCTTCAGAGGTCAGGGCTGTCCTGGGCCAGCCTCTGCGGAAGACAAACAGCTCCCACCCCTGGGAGTTCCCCAAGGTGTGTTCTTGGTTCTGTATTCTGGCCTCTGCTTCCCTGGCTGTTCTGGTATCCTGGTACAGGCCTTCGACAGGACCCCCTCCAGCCCTGCAACTTGTCCCTGCACCTCCCAGCTTCATTCAGATCACGCAGGTGTACTCGGACACCTCCTCCAGCTGGATCCAGATCTCTCATCGCAAACTGAGTATCCCTTACCTGCAATGCCTGGGACCAGAATCTGGATTTGGATTTCAGAGTTTTATGGATTAGAGCCTAAGGTTGCGGGCCGTTTCCTACTAGTTATATGCCTCGGACTTATGCCCTTTTAAATGACCAAACACCTTACCAAGGAGCCAAATGGTCTTACCACTACATTTTTAGATAATTTCTCATTTTGGCACCATTACTGCCAATTCCAAGACAGTGCTTTTTTGCATTTTAAAATCTCTGAAGTCTGGATGTGCCTTACAATGGAGTCACATGCTGTCACGGCGAAGGGCAGCACGTGATTTTCCAGCGCACATAAAACGTCGGTGCGTCTATAGCCAGCGCTGTCCAACGTGCTAAGAAACGTGGGGCAGTCAATCGTGCTTTTGCCTTTTTATGAGTTATTTTCTTTCCTGCAGTGAGATGACCAGGCTCGAATAAGAACATTTCATGTTTTTTTTTTTGGCTCAGATGGGGCTGGGGACGTGCCACCACCTAAGCTGGGGAATGAGGTCAGCTGACAGGCTGGAGACCCAGCTCATCCTCAACAGTCAGCAACCCCCGCCTTCTCAGCATCGGGCTAGCACGCTGCTGCTCTGCTGCTCAGTGCTTAATCCTCAGCACGACTCCATAGCTGGTGTTACTGTCCCTCTTACACAGAAGAGGAAAACTGAGGCTCAGAGACTCTGGGGAGGACAGGGGTGCCCAGCCGTGGTGTCCCTACTGCAGACCAGGCGTGCACCTGGCTGAAACAGCCCACCAGCTTCTATAGCTCAGTTGTTTTCCTCTCAAAAACCAGGAGAGCTGGCTGATTAGAGGCTCTATAAACCATCCCGTTAAAACATTTTTTACAAAACACAAGGAACCCTGTAAGGGTGAATCGTTAAAAGAATGGTGTGCTTTGAACCAGTAAGAGGCTTGTTTGCCTTCAGAGGTCAGGGCTGTCCTGGGCCAGCCTCTGCGGAAGACAAACAGCTCCCACCCCTGGGAGTTCCCCAAGGTGTGTTCTTGGTTCTGTATTCTGGCCTCTGCTTCCCTGGCTGTTCTGGTATCCTGGTACAGGCCTTCGACAGGACCCCCTCCAGCCCTGCAACTTGTCCCTGCACCTCCCAGCTTCATTCAGATCACGCAGGTGTACTCGGACACCTCCTCCAGCTGGATCCAGATCTCTCATCGCAAACTGAGTATCCCTTACCTGCAATGCCTGGGACCAGAATCTGGATTTGGATTTCAGAGTTTTATGGATTAGAGCCTAAGGTTGCGGGCCGTTTCCTACTAGTTATATGCCTCGGACTTATGCCCTTTTAAATGACCAAACACCTTACCAAGGAGCCAAATGGTCTTACCACTACATTTTTAGATAATTTCTCATTTTGGCACCATTACTGCCAATTCCAAGACAGTGCTTTTTTGCATTTTAAAATCTCTGAAGTCTGGATGTGCCTTACAATGGAGTCACATGCTGTCACGGCGAAGGGCAGCACGTGATTTTCCAGCGCACATAAAACGTCGGTGCGTCTATAGCCAGCGCTGTCCAACGTGCTAAGAAACGTGGGGCAGTCAATCGTGCTTTTGCCTTTTTATGAGTTATTTTCTTTCCTGCAGTGAGATGACCAGGCTCGAATAAGAACATTTCATGTTTTTTTTTTTTTTTTTTTAACCTTTTTTTCTATAGGCCAGAGAGAAACAGAGAGGGGAAAGTGAGAAATCACCCCTGGGGTGAGGGTCATGATGCAGTCCCTTCTCTATGATCCTCTTGGGACTTTGGGCATGCACCCACACGTGCCCAGCGTAAGTTTTAAGCTGCCGGGTCAAAGACTTGAACTGCAGTCAGCGATGTGGGACTCCATCCAGCACCTTACCCACCATGCCACCTGCTGGCCCCCATTTCATGATTCTTGATATACACTATTTTTCCCCCCAGAACTGCTGTGTGGGTTGCCCAGTTCCATGTGATATGGAGACGTGAGCTGGATTCAGTCTAAGCAGCAGCAAGCATTTCTGCATGTTTTGGTTTGCCTTTTTTTTATCTAATGCTAGCATGTGCATGGAGAGAGGAGGAGGGAGAGGCACCTTCAAGAACATCTCATCACACCATGATCCCTTTCCACAGCCCTCAGGACCTTGAACACTCCATGTCTGCAGACTGACTTGGGGATCCGAACCCATGGTCAGCCACGTGGCTTCCAGCACTGCAGTTCTGAGCTATGGACTGTGCCACCTAAGCTGGGCCGGGTTACCTCACTTAATGAGGAACCACAAATGTGGGGCCAGCAGTTGGGGTAATGGTAACGTTGCTGAACTCCCACGTAATCGACTGTGGTTTGAGTCTCGGACCCGGTGCGTGCATCCCCAAGATCCCGAGAGAATGGAGAAAGGATCGTGGCATGGCCATCCTCCCTGGGGGAGCATTTTTCGCTTTATATCTCTCTCTGTCCTTCCAGCGAGCGCCTTATGGCAAAAAATCTCTCTTAAAAAAAAAAAAAAAGAGAAGGAAACATAAGTGAATGAAAAGCAGGGATTGCTCCCATTTGATGTTCCTCGCCGCTAGCTTTCTTACTGACAGTGCGGATGCCTGGGTTGGCTAACTCTCCATTTCCGGGTCACCAAGGTGATGAGATGCAAGGTCGCTCTCTCTCCTGGACTCCACCCACTCACCCCAGCTGCTACCCCAAGTTTCCAGCACTGCCCTAGAGGCCCTTGAGCCTGGCGTGGCCCTGATGTGGCCAGCCCCCAGGAGGTCTAAGTGAAAGGCTGAAATGGAGGTTGGCGCTTCCTCTCTCCTTTGCCCCTCCCTTTCACAACTGATATCCTGCAAAACCCAGCAAACCTGCACCCAGATATCAACGACAGCGTCTGTTAGTCATACTGAGGATGGCCACATGGCACAAGAGGCAAGGCATTTGCTTTGCAGTCAGGCCAGGTCAAGATCCCAGCAAGTGGCTTAACCAATCGCTATTTCACCACCTGTGAAATGGGAGGTTGGGAAAAGCCTCGAAGGGGCTCGATATCTGCCTAGCATTCTGAGACCACTGTTCCGTTAAATCCGCACAAACCTTCAGGGGCAGGGGTGGTAAATGATTTTTAACATTTCCAGATAAGGAAACTGAGGCTCAGAAGGTGAAGGCCCTGGCCTAGAGGCACTTTTTTTTTTTTTTTTTTTTTTTTTTTAAGTTTTTGACATAGGTATGTGCAGTCACCTAAGAGGTGGGGAGACAGAGAGATAGGGAAGGAAAGTAAGAATTCACCCCCCCAGGGGGGGTTGGCTATGCTGCAATCCCTTTTCTTGCATTTCCCCCTTGGGATTTTGGGTATGCATGCACATGATTTTCAAGCCACCGGGTCCAGGACTCAAACCATGGTCGGTCATGTAAAAGTTCAGCACCTTAACCACTATGCTGTCCGCTGGCCTCGGGGCACATGATTATTAAAATGCAAGCTGAATCTGCTCAGTATCACTAGATTATCAGGCTGCCTTAAGATTTTCTGAAGTATAATTTTCCACCTTTGTGACTTTCCGCACTTGGGTAGGGTGGAAATACCCTGAAGAGGTGTTTTAGGTGTTTTCTCTCGATCCTGTTTGAAACACCAAACAGGATTAGCTTCTCAGGCCTGGGAAGTTCTTTGATGCTACTAGTCCACCAGAATTAATTTACCTTTTCATCCCAGGTTGCCATTTTCCAGTCGTCCCTGGATCTGGAAAATAAGAAAACATTTGTCTGAATGTGTCACTGTGCTGTCCTCTGCCATAGAAAGTACATTGCAATTCTTTCTTGTGAATTAGTCTAACTTGCTTACACATTTTTTTTAGAGGTATTTATGCTATAGGGCATGTGCACTTGCCAGAGACAGAGAGGGAGCGAGAAATCACCCCCACCCACGCAGGGGGGATGGCCAGGTTGCAGGCTGCAATACTTTCTCCTCCATTCACTTCTTGGGATTTGGGGCATGCACACACATGTGCCTGGTGTGAGTTTCAAGTCGCCGGGTCCAGGACTCAAACTGTGGTCAGCCATGTGGGAGTACAATGCCTAACCACACCACCTGCTGGCCTTGCTTACAAATTAGTTTTAACAGTGTCTCAAAATCATATAAAGCTCACAGACAAACATCCTGGGTATACATCCAGAAGAACTGAAAACGAGCACTCAGATGCTGAACCCCAATGCTCCCAGCAGCACTGTTGATGACTGTCACGAGGTGGCAACAGCCAAATGTCCCCCCGTGGAAGGACGGACACTGGCGACAAGTCTGTCCACACAATGGAATGTGGTTCAGCCCTAGCAAGGAATGCCCTGAAACACTATGTGAGGGAAATACTTGGTCAGACACTAAACGTCACAGTGCCTAACTCCATTGAAGAGAAATTTCCAGAACAGCCAATCCAGAGAGACAGAAAGAAGACTTGGGGCTGCTAGGAGCTGGAGGAATAGAAATTACGGGAAGTGGCTGCTTAACAGCTACAGGGTGGGCCTGTAGGGTGGCATGCAGGTTAAGGATCCCACATGGCTGACCGCGCAGTTCAAGTCCCAGACCTGGTGGTGTGACAAACATGCCAGGCGCATGTGCATGCGTGCCCAAAATCCTGACAGGAGAATGGAGGAAAAGGGATTGCAGTGTTGGCCTTCTCCTGGAGGACGATTTCTCATTCTCTCTCTGATGAGCACATGCCCCAATGTAAATAATGTACAGAGTAATGGGGACGTTGGGCAGCTAGACAGGGCTGATGCTGCGCAACGTGGTGGACACGCTAACTGCCACTGAGCTGGCCCCGTTTAACCGGTTCTTTTTACGTTATGTAAATCTCACCCTAAAAAAGACAGACTTTACAGGGCTGGGGGTGCTCTGAAAAGCAGCAGACAAGCTCACTGGCCACCAGTGGGCATCTGGGGAGTCAGATGATGTGCACCCGGGCTATGGGGGATTCCAGGGCTGTTACATTGGCAGGTATGGCTGTGGAAAGGTGTTAGTCATACAGCAAGAAAAAAAAAAAAAACCATAGTTTGGCATAGTGTACAGAACCCCATCTACATGCAAGAAATACATATGCCTTTTGTTGACTTCATCGGTAAGGATGTGGCCAAACTCTTCATGGAGTTATCCTTGGGGAGAAAAAAAGGGAGCAATTTTGGCGTGCGGGTTGGGTGAGTATATTGTCTTTGCTTCTGGAACATCTGAACTTCTACAATGACTATGTGTTACTTTTAAAAACTATTTTTAACATAGGTGACATATGCATGTGGCAAGAAATTTAAATAATCAAAAAGATACACCATGACAAGCCAGTCTCCTACCCCTCTTCTCCCTCCCTTGTCCTTTGCAGCGTTCTGGAGTAGAATAAGGCCTTACGAGCACATACATATATAGTCTCCTCCCTCCCCATATCGCCCATCTTTTTGCTAAACAAATGGAGACCCACACACTGCTCTGAATCTTGCTCATTTCCCTTTAGCGTATGGGAGGCAGAACAATGTTCTCCTCTCCAGAAATGCACACACCCTTCCTAATCCCTGAAACCTGAGAATGCTACCTCACTTGGCAGGAGGGACTTTGTGGATATGACCAAGGATCCTGAGGCGAAGGGATTTCCTGGATTATCCCGCTGGATTATACCCGATCTCATCAGGAGGGTATTTTAAAGATTTTTTAAAAATTGCCCAAGGGCTCATGCACTGCCGGAGGCAGGGAGAGTACCCCCCACAGGATGTGACCACGGCAATTCCTTCTCCTTCATTTCTCCATCCTGTCAGGATCTGGAGCACACACAAGTGCCTGCTGTGTTTCTCAAGCCACCAGGCCTGAGATTTGAATCGCACGGTTGGCCATGTAGAACCCTGCTTCCTTAACCATTAGGGCCCCAGAAGCAGGACAATCAGATGGGATGACGGAAGCCAGGCCGTGAAGTTGGGGGTCAGAGAGAGATCTGGAGATCCCACAGTGCTGGCTTTGAAGGAGGAGGAGGGCCACAACAGGTTCCTTCCCAGAGCCTCCAGAATCTAAGCGGCCTAGGAACACTTTGATTTGGGCCAGTGAGACAGAGTTTGCATTTCTGAGCCACAGACGTACAAGACGATGGATGTGTGCTGCCCTGAGTCCGAGCGCGTGGTGATTGGCCACGGCAGCCACGGGGGACTCATGCGGCATCTCAGAGATGGCTCTGTCTGTCAGCAGGTGCTGGCCGGGTGCACCTTCTGCCGGCTGCACAGAACTCCCCCAAGAGAGTGTGCTCAGTCCCACGAGTAATGGGCAACCCCTTCCTGCCCCAATGTCCCACTGAATAACTCTGCATGCCTTTCTTAATTCAAAAATACTACCATTTTGAGAAAGATATTCACAGACATTAAAAAAAAAAGACAAAGCAGGAGTTTGGTCTCTCCCCACTGCCCCATGCTGACGGTGTGGGGGACTCTCGGAGAGTCTTGCTGGCTGACTGGCGGAGCCACTTCTGCACCCAGCAGAGCTGGGCTGTGTGGGCCCTGCACCAGCCCCCTGGGGCCCTCGTCCTGTTCTCATGAAGTGGGTTCAAGCGGAACCATAACAAGTGAAAGGGAGGACCAAGGTGCCCTGGGGACTTCCTTCCTTCGGGAGACATGAAATGGAACTAGCACACAGGCAGGAAAATGCTCATCTTTACTAATTCAAGCAACCTAAGACACAGAAGGGCCATGCCCTCTCCACTAAAGTAGCCAAAATAAGTAAAAATGTTAAAAGCTGGTGGTGCATGCAGGGCTGTGGGGAAACTTGCACATAGCACTGAGGATCATTTTTCTAAACAGCAATCTGATAACAATGGGAAGTGCCTTCGAATGATCATACCCTTGACTCCACACCTTGGCCTGAAAAGTCTACCTCAAAGAAACCATCTGAGAGCCAAACACGACACGGACAGCGATGCTCACGGCTAAGTTGGATCTAACGGCCCAAACCTGCAAACGGCTCTCCTGCCCTACTCTAGGGAAAAGCGGAGGAAGGCAGCCGACTGTCAGGAGTGGCGATTTTGAGGTCCACGTCGAAATGTGGAAAGACTGCGGGGAAACAAAAGAAGAAACATCTGATGGCTGTATGCGCTGTTCTGTGCTGTACGCAGCTGTACAAACTGGCCGGACCTAAGTCAGATGCTGTGCTGACTTCCGGGGAAGGTGAAGAGGCAAGAAAAAAGTCAGGGCCCTACGGTCTGGCATTTTAGGCAGAGAGACAAGCCCAAACCCAAGAAAACACACCAGCAAGATGGCACCCCACCAAGCTAATTGCTGGGGAGGAAGAAAACCAGAGCGAGGAGCCAGGGAGCAGGTGCGCATGGCTCTATCGGGGGTGGTCGGGAAAGACTTTCGAGGAAGTGACGCGGATGGGGCTCCCTAGATTACAGGGGTGTAAGTCACAAGG